CAGTAACAACGACAACTCTATAAATATTTGCTTCGTTGCGGTTACAACTTTTTTTGCTGCTGCTTCTAAGTGCCTCTGTCACAGCTTGCTGCGGTTTTGTTCATCGCCAGCTGTAATTATTTTAGAACGATTTCTTTCTGTAAATAGTTGTTGTATCGTGTCAGATTCGGATCACATTTCATTAATTGTCATTTAATGTCATTTATCTTCCACAGCCCCGCTCAGATCTCCATACCTCCACCGGAGGGGCTGTTAAGTGTGTAACGGTTTGATCGACCCAGGGGTCTCACGAATTTTTTTCTATAGAAAAAAGAGGTGAGACACAGGGGTCTCACGAATTTTTTTCTATAGAAAAGAGGTGAGACACAAAAGAGGTGAGACACAAGTGTCTCACGAATTTTTTTCTATAGAAAAAAGAGGTGAGACACAAGGGTCTCACGAATTTTTTTTCTATAGAAAAAAAAGAGGTGAGACACAAGGGTCTCACGAATTTTTTTCTATAGAAAAAAAGATGTGAGACACAAGGGTCTCACGAATTTTTTTCTATAGAAAAAAAAAAAAGAGGTGAGACACAAGGGTCTCACGAATTTTTTTCTATAGAAAAAAAGAGGTGAGACACAAGGGTCTCACGAATTTTTTTCTATAGAAAAAAAAGAGGTGAGACACAAGGGTCTCACGAATTTTTTTTCTATGGAAAAAAAGAGGTGAGACACAAGGGTCTCACGAATTTTTTTTCTATGGAAAAAAAGAGGTGAGACACAAGGGTCTCACGAATTTTTTTTCTATGGAAAAAAAGAGGTGAGACACATGGGTCTCACGAATTTTTTTTCTATGGAAAAAAAGAGGTGATACACAAGGGTCTCACGAATTTTTTTTCTATGGAAAAAAAGAGGTGAGACACAAGGGTCTCACGAATTTTTTTTCTATGGAAAAAAAGAGGTGAGACACAAGGGTCTCACGAATTTTTTTTCTATGGAAAAAAAGAGGTGAGACACAAGGGTCTCACGAATTTTTTTCTATAGAAAAAAAGAGGTGAGACACAAGGGTCTCACGAATTTTTTCTATAGAAAAAAAGAGGTGAGACACAAGGGTCTCACGATATTTTTTCTATAGAAAAAAAATTGACCCAGTGGTCTCACGATTTTTTTTTTCTATAGAAAAACATTGACCCAGGGGTCTCACGAATTTTTTTCTATAGAAAAACATTGACCCAGGGGTCTCACGAATTTTTTTCTATAGAAAAACATTGACCCAGGGGTCTCACGAATTTTTTTCTATAGAAAAACATTGACCCAGGGGTCTCACGAATTTTTTTCTATAGAAAAACATTGACCCAGGGGTCTCACGAATTTTTTTCTATAGAAAAACATTGACCCAGGGGTCTCACGAATTTTTTTCTATAGAAAAACATTGACCCAGGGGTCTCACGAATTTTTTTCTATAGAAAATCATTGACGCAGGGGTCTCACGAATTTTTTTCTATAGAAAAACATTGACCCAGGGGTCTCACGAATTTTTTTCTATAGAAAAACATTGACCCAGGGGTCTCACGAATTTTTTTCTATAGAAAAACATTGATCCAGGGGTCTCACGAATTTTTTTCTATAGAAAAACATTGACCCAGGGGTCTCACGAATTTTTTTTCTATAGAAAAACATTGACCCAGGGGTCTCACGAATTTTTTCTATAGAAAAACATTGACCCAGGGGTCTCACGAATTTTTTCTATAAAAAAACATTGACCCAGGGGTCTCACGAATTTTTTTCTATAGAAAAACATTGACCCAGGGGTCTCACGAATTTTTTTCTATAGAAAAACATTGACCCAGGGGTCTCACGGATTTTTTTTCTATAGACCCAGGTCTCGACCCAGGGGTCTCAAAATTTGTTTTTTATAGAAAAAAATGTGAGACACAAGGGTCCATTATTCCTATACAATAAATTCGCGAGCATTTTTTTATTGCTATGAAAGGAACCAAAACAAAGCACAATTATCTCACCTCAATAGAAATGACTCGCCTAGAAAACCATGAACAAAAATCGAACCATAACTAGAAGATGAGACGACGGCAGACCAACAAGAACACAACAAAAAGAATTGAAAGACAAAGAAAGTTCAGTGCATTGGACTTTATTTATTTTGAGAAAAACAAATGTTCAACACGTGCTGACATTAAATTTTATTTTATTTTTTTTTTTCGACGAATTTTCAAAATTCTGAAAAAATTGAAAATTTCATAAATATATAAAAAAAATCATGTTAACCCAATTGGCAACGCTTTGGGAACAAAAAAATTACTCATACGGCACCCCCGCAAACAAACATTCCACAGCTCAAATAGACCAAAGGCCATCATGATTTGCGGCAAACAATAAAAACAATAAAATGCATATTTGCAATTAATAAATAAATAAATAAATTACAACAACAACAGCAGAAAAATCATTAAACATTTAACGGAAATAAATTGCAATGCCATTAAAAGTGCTGTTTGGTTATTTCCGTCATAGGTTAGTTTTATTAGAAGAGAATTGCATAGGCAGAGAAGAAGAAGGGTGGGAGAGCCCTCCCTTGCTCTCTCTCTCTTTCCACACATATGTCGCCATCATCACACAACGGCGGTCTATTGTAAAACAGACCTTTGTTCTTATTGACTGAGTCTCACACCCTCCCTATGTTCAGCTCTCATCACCCACTCACCTATTGGGGAGGAGAGAAAGAGAACGAGAGAGACAGGTTTGGCACACATAACTGTCCTGTCTATGTCATCTTAACAATGTAAACAATTAGCGTAACCAGTCAGTATTTGTATTGGCAGAGTGAGGGTGTTGCTGATGCCATTGTTGTTGTTGTTTTTGCCGCTCTTTTTGTAATTCTTGTGTTATGTTGTCGTAATGGTAATGGTGTTGTTGTTCTTGCTGTTGGCGTAACACAATTGTCTCCTTTGTTTACAATGCCAAACAATGGAGGTTGGCAACACTTGTCTCTTCGGCTGGCATTGTTTGCTCTTGTCGGTTTTTTTTGCTGTCGTTGCTGCTGCTGATTATTTTTTGTCTGATTGTTTGCTGTCGTTATTTTGTGACGATTTGTTTGTAGTTGTTGTTGTTGTTGCCATCATGTTTTGAATTTGTTGCTGTTGTTTTTTGGCCGTTAAATAATAAAACGTTTATTCACCTTTTTTTCCTCTTTCACTTTTTTCGAGATTTGTGGGGTTTTTTGCTGTTATCATTTTGTTTGAAGGTAATTCAAAAAACAAACTGATGTTTGCTCATTTTTGTTTACAGAGAGATTACATACATATGTACATAACATAAATATATGTAAATACAGACAGTATTTATATGGCTTATATAGAAACGAAAATAAAAAAAATCAAAAAAAAAACTTGGCACAGAAAAAAAAACCTTTGTACAACTTGAGTTTCGATTCTTTCCTATTGAGAAAATGACAATTTTTTTTAAAGGGTTCAAAGACCCATGGGTCTATCGACGAATTTTTTTCTATAGAAAAAAATCGACCCATGGGTCTATCGACGAATTTTTTTCTATAGAAAAAAATTGACCCAAGGGTCCCGACAAATTTTTTTTCCATAAAAAAAAATGGACCAGATGTCCCGACGATTTCTTTCCATAGAAAAAAATGGACCAGAGGTCCCGACGATTTTTTTTTTATAGAAAAAAAATGGACCAGAGGTCCCGACGAAATTTTTTCTATAGAAAAAAATGGAACAGAGGTCCCGACGAATTTTTTTCTATAGAAAAAAATGGACCACAAGGGTCCCGACGAATTTTTTTTTATAGAAAAAAATTTGAACCACAAGGATCCTGACGAATTTTTTTCTATACGAAATAAACTTGGACCAGAGGTCCCGACGAATTTTTTTCTATAGAAAAAACTTGGACCAGAGGTCCCGACGAATTTTTTTCTATAGAAAAAACTTGGACCAGAGGTCCCGACGAATTTTTTTCTATAGAAAAAACTTGGACCAGAGGTCCCGACGAATTTTTTTCTATAGAAAAAACTTGGACCAGAGGTCCCGACGAATTTTTTTCTATAGCAAAAAATGGACCAGAGGTCCCGACAATTTTTTTTCTATAGAAAAAACTTGGACCACAAGGGTCCTGACGAATTTTTTTCTATAGAAAAAACTTGGACCACAAGGGTCCTGACGAATTTTTTTCTATAGAAAAAACTTGGACCACAAGGGTCCTGACGAATTTTTTTCTATAGAAAAAACTTGGACCAGAGGTCCGGACGAATTTTTTTCTATAGAAAAAACTTGGACCAGAGGTCCGGACGAATTTTTTTCTATAGAAAAAACTTGGACCAGAGGTCCGGACGAATTTTTTTCTATAGAAAAAACTTGGACCAGAGGTCCCGACAAATTTTTTTCTATAGAAAAAACTTGGACCAGAGTTCCGGACGAATTTTTTTTCTGTAGAAAAAAAATGGACCGACGAATTTTTTTCTATAGAAAAATCGACCCAAGGATCTCACGAAAAATTTATAAAAATAATTCGAAGGTATATTGACAATTCCATGTAAAAATATGAACAATTGAATATCACGTGTGGGAGCCAATAACATTTAGTTTTTAACAATCCGTCACTTTAAAAAATTTTCTGTGGTGAAGAATTATGAAGATTTTGGAATTATGGAGATTTTGGAATTTCATAAATTGTATGAATTGTATTCATAGATTTTAGGATTTTTTTTTAATTTTAGTCCTTTGGTTCATACCAAAGAGGCCTTAGGACCTCAGAAAAATTATTGGTATAAGTATGAGGGACATGCCCCTTGAAAATATGACAAGATTCTAGATTCGATTAACTTTTTCACAGAATTTATGAACCTTTTTCATAATTTGTACATAAAATGCTTTAAATCGTACCAAAATTTATTGGAAAAATAGATTTTAACTACATTTAAGTAAATAATTATAAACAGAGACAAATAATACATAAATTAGGGGATTATACGGAATATATATAGGAAAAATATTATACAGTAATGGTAATTTGTTGTAGATTTTTATTAAATTGCTCGAAAACCTTCAGACGTCTATCCAATTCATCGATTTTCTGTAGAAGAACCTTGAATTTTTGTTCATAAATCCCAATGACGGCCTTGAACTCATTCCGCAAAATATCCACATCACTTGCTGAATCTTGCGAAGAATCTGAGGACATCATAATGTCCTCATCATCTTGTATGGCTTTACTCAGGCGAGCAGCAAGGCCATTCAGGGCAATATTATCTTGTAGAACATTCTCAGAATTTTCCTCCTCTTCAGAATTTGGATCTCTTAGACGATACATACATTTAATGCCGCCTATATATTCTCCCGGATATTCAGGGTCATATTCATCCATGGTGTAGCTAATTTGCCAGGGCCGTATTAGCATATCCATCATAATTTGAAGGCTGTAACAGTTCCAATTGTTGCCATGCAAATAGAAATGATTGAGATTTTGGAAATAACGAAATTGATCGGGATCGAGGTGAGTCAGGCGATTATGGGAAACATTGAGAGTCTTGAGACGTTCTGAGGCAGATAGTATGGCAATGGGTATTGCAGTGAGACTGGTATTACTCAAATCCAGTGTCTGCAGCGAATCTGTTTCCCAATATTCTGGTAAAGTTTTCAAATGCGGATTATTTGAGACATCAAAATATTCCAGATTTGTGGCCTGACTTAGCGAGGAAATTTGCTGTAGAGAATTATCGCTGAGGCGTAAAGTTTTCAAGGTATCTGGCCGTGAAAAATATAATTCCAATATTGAATTTGATTGTAGATCAACATGATGAACTTTGCCATAGATATTTACACGATTTATCGAACAATTGCGGACCCACAAATGATCTACATGGAGATTTGCAACCAGGTTTTGTAGCATTGGATTGTGGGATAAATCCAGGAAATCCATGTCCTTTTGCGACTGCAAAAAATATTCCTCAAGCTGTTCGAGGTTATTGTGATCTAAATGGAGGCGTCGGAGGCGAGGATTTTGCAGGAAAACGGTATTTTCAATTATCCTCAAGTGATTGCCGGCCAGATTTAATTCCTGCAATGTTGTCAGGGAATCGAAGATGCCTTTGGGCAAATTGGCGATTTGATTGTCATGTAAATCCAACATAAACAGCTTTTTCATATCCTGAAATGAATCTTTGTGGAGCTGTCGGATTTCATTGTTATCCAAGAAGAGGAAGGCCAGATTTTCGGCCATTTTAAAGGTACTTGGCGGAATTTCCTTTAGGCGATTATTCGAAAGCAGCAGAATGCTAAGACTTTCGGCTTTTAGGAAATTTTCCCAGGTTAGATGGCCGATGGAACAATTCCGCATATCGAGCTCCTCAATTTTCAGCGTGTAAAATAAATTCAAGGGGAAATTGACGAATCGCGATTGAAGGAATTTCAAAACCTCAAAGGTTTGTGGCTTCTTAAAGACATAGGTGGTATTGGAGGTGAAACGTATGGCTGGTTTCTTTGTGAAGTAAACCACTTCACCGGGATTGTCGTAAACGAAATCGTGGCATTCTCCTTGCAGGCAATTATCCTCTAAAATCGAAACATCCACCTCATTCAGGACTGGTTTGTAATCTTCCTCATCATAGAAATAATCAAAGGTATTGACTGCCTCGGAAGTTGAGGATTGTTGGGAGGATTGTTCTCCAGTCTGGGATGTTTCGGAAATTGAGTTTTCTTGGGGATCATCTTCTTCTTGCATCTCCTGGGAATTTTCCGGCTCACCAGCAATCTCGGGAACTTGAGTTTCCTCCTCCGCCGAAACCATGGACGTAAATAGCAGCGAGTTCACGAATAAAATGACCATCAAGGCCACGCGAAATTGTCCCATTTTGGTTTTCTAGGGAACGCGAATGACCGTGAGGGAAATTATTTCAAAACCGTATTGAAAAAAATACTGGAAAACTGTCGATTTTTTTCTTTCACAATTCCTCTATGACATATCTGTTCGTTTCAACGTTTAAAAATAAACTGAAACAATTTTTTTGCGTCCAGCCAATGGCTTGACCACCCACTGGGTTTGAAAAAAAATCTACTTCAAAACACATTTTTTTTTTTTCAATATAATACATTATTTTCCAAATTGTTCATGTTTGTTATTGTTCGTGTATTATTATTTTATATATTATATTTTAATTCGAAATGAATTTGTGTTTTTATGCAGTAATTATTTCCATAAAAAATTTGAAATAAAAAATGAGATACAGAAAAAAATTCAAAACGAATTTCCATTATAGAAGTAGAATTTCCTTCTAAATGAAAATTTTTTGTTCGGTTTTTTTTATTATTCATTAATAACAGACGCCTCATATGATACGGTTAGTTCGCTTTTTTGTTGTATTTGCTTCTAATTGACCTCCATTCGATGGCGAAAAAAGTAGGGCGTTCGGTGGGTATTGAGGGAATCGGTTTTGCATTCATTGGCTGGCTAGCTATCATCATCATTATTACTCTGTTCGCTGGCCTCTCTCTCTGCCTCACTCGCTTCCCTTTTGGATCGCCCGTGGCATTCTTTTGTTGTGTCTATGATCAGAAAATTGTGATCATCCGTTTTTTTTTTATTATTTATTTGTTATGGTTCGTGTGATCGCCAGCCAGCCAGGCCAGCTAGCCATTATTGAGCTTTAATTTAGAGTAGATATTTGGAATATCTCATCAATTCTCCCGTTGAATAAATTATTTTCAATTTAGTTGGCATTAATAAACAAAAATTATTTATTAATAAGAAATGGTCCTTCGACCTTAAGAAAAAAACATTTTTTCAATATCTTCTTGGCATTTTTCTTCACGGCTTTCAAAAAACCATATATGTATGTTGTATTGGCAAATATATAAATGTAATTTTTCATATTTACTTTTGGTCCTTCGACCCGGATAAGTTCAATGCAATTGGTCCTTCGAGCATCACTTTCACAAAAAAATATTTGTTTCGATATTTCACTGAAGTCTCTCTCCGAAGTTGTATTGGAAAATACGTAAATGTAATTTTTCATATTTACTTTTGGTCCTTCGACCGGGATAAGTTCAATGCAATTGGTCCTTCGAGCATCATTAAAAAAGATTTGCTACGATATAATTTTCAATTACTAGGAAATTCGACCCGGAGAAGTTCAATGCAATTGGTCCTTCGAGCATCACCTTCAGAAAAAAATATTTGTTTCGATATTTCACTGAAGCCTTGCTCCGAAGTTGTATTGGGAAATACATAAATGTAATTTTTGGTATTTACTTTTGGTCCTTCAACCAATGCAATTGGTCCTTCGAGCATCATTAAAAAAGATTTGCTCCGATATAATTTTCAATTGTAAGGGGAGAAATCTCCAGATTTGGAAAAATCACCCTTTATTATATTTTTATTAATTTTATTATTTATGCTGAGACGGAATAAGTCAAACTCTGACAGTATTCGTCTACAGGATGCTTGCTGTTGTAGCCTTAAGGCTTCCAAAGTCTAGCATATATTTTATTTTATTTGGTTTTTCCAAAATAAAACACTTTGTTTTTAATTCAAACCTTTATTATTCGCAGCTCGATCGCAATAGAACGATGCAACATCATTTCTGTGACCAGCTAACCATTAGTCAAATCAATTACATCGTCTAGAACTTAACTTAAAATTGTAGCATAATCATTACACGAGAGCATAATTTGCATAAAAAACATGAGAGTCATTTAAGTATATGTGGGTGAGCGTAAAATTAAATATTGAGATCAATTGAGTAATAAATATTGATTTTCGTTAAAAATATTAATAAATGAGAGCAATTACAACAACAATAAGTTGCCCTTCTTCGTTAAGCGATAGAAGAAGCATAACTATCGTGAGAGCAAGAGAATATGTGTTAGTTGCTCCTTTGAGTGAAAGCATTCCAAACTGTTATACTAGTGTTAGTGCTGTTTACTGGCTAACATAGCTTTCTTTACAGGATGTAACCTAACAGTCTAGTTAACATAATAATGTATTTAGCATAAATATCGATTGCAATATTAGTGCAATAATGTAATGTAAATAAATAATGAGTTGTTGATGAAATGGACTGCTACAACCTCCCCCTCTGTTGCATTAATCGTCCCGATGATGCGAACAGGAATCTATCACTTCCGATTCATCAAACGCAAAGATCTCCTCAAGGCTGGTGGTTGTGAATGTGGGTTGGTTTGTTGTTGCCAATTTTGCTGTGATTGGATTTGTACCTCTCCTTGTAGTATTTGGCGTTGTCCACCTTGTTGCTGACGTATTCCGTCTTGTTGTAGATTTTGTTGGTGTGGCTTTGTTGTTGTTGAACCCTTTGTTGTTGGCTTTGTCGTTGTTGACGTTGACCTTTTTGTTGTTGTTGACGTTGTTGATGATTTTGTTGTTGATTATTAGCATTGCTGTTCGATGGACGTCCTCTCCTACGTTTAGGATAAAGAGGTAATTCCTTTTCGCCTTCATATTGGGTTAGTGCTGAATGGACCATCTCTACGAGGCGCGAATTTTGATGTTATTCCATCCTTGGCTTTACTTAGCATATGTGTATCGATCAAAACTTTATCGCCATTTTGGAAATCAGGCTGCAATCTTCGCTTCTTGTCAACATAATTTTTATTTTTATCCTGCATCTTAATTTGAGTCTCATTTGCAATTTCCAATGTATTCGCCAATTTTATGAGATGAGGCGTAATTTGTGGAACAAAGTTTTCTGCCAAAACTATAGCTTTAAAATCATAGTGTGCTTCGGTAGGTGTTCTAAGCTCTCTACCAAATGTGAGGTAAGCTGGAGTTTGCCCAGTACTATCACATTTTGCCGTATTCATTGCAAATCGCACTGTTGGTAAAAATGTATTCCAATTCCTGTGATCTTTTTCCACGTAAATACTTAATTGGGTTTTTAGATCACGGTTTCTTCTTTCAACTGGATTTGATTGTGGGTGGTAAATAGGAGTAAAAGTCTGTTTTATTCCCAGACAGTATGTTAATTTTTGCATTAAGGCCGAAATGAATTGTGTCCCATTGTCTGTGTGAATCCTGCGGGGAACTCCGTACCTCAGAATTACTTCATTTAACAATGTCAATGCACAATTTTCTGCAGAACCTTCTTTTAGTGCGAATAATTCCACCCATCTACTACAAATATCTTCTACGATTAATATCCATTGGTGTCCTTTTACAGTTTTTGGTAAAGGTCCAAAAAGATCTACTGCCAAAATTTCGAATCGTTTGTTGCTGCTTATCGTTTGTAGTAATCCGCATGGTTTCAGATTCGTTGGTTTGTAGCGTTTACATTCTTCGCAAGCTTTCACGTAACCTGCTATATCCGAACGCATTCCAGACCAGTAAAATATTGGAGTTATTCTGTTTGTAGTTTTGTCAATACCATAATGTCCTGATAGTGGATCCTTGTGATATTTTTCTAAAATTTGATTATGGAGTGATTTCGGTAATACCAGTTGTCCATTTTCCGAGTCTTGCTCCGAACAATATCTATATAGAACACCATCTATCATTATATAACCGCGATTAGTATGACGTATTACATTTTCATCGTCGTTTTCGAAGGACGTTATTATTTCTTTCAGCTTGTCGTCATCCAACTGAGCTTTACGAAAATCTTCCAATCCTTCTCTCGGAAAATCTATGTCTATAGCATAGCATGCACATGTTTCAATACAATGATCATTTTCACATGGTGGTCTTGATAAAGTATCTGCTATGACATTTTGTTTTCCGGGTGTATATATGAAAGTTAAATTGTAACTTTGTAATAATAATGACCACCTAGCTAATCTACCTGTAGGTGATTTTAAAGAAAAAAGCCACTTTAGCGGTTGGTGATCCGTAAGAACCGTAATTTCCGATCCCTCAATATATCCTCTAAATTTTTGAACTGCCCACACAACGGCTAGTGCTTCACGTTCTGTCGTAGAGTAATTTCTTTCTGCAGGCAATAGGAGACGGCTTGCATATTCTATTGGATGCTCGTTTTCCTTCTCCCCCTGGAGTAATACAGCCCCGATCGCGTAATTACTGGCGTCAGTTCTGAGAAAAAATGGCTGATTCTCCTTTACCTGTTGAAGAATTGGTGGGGATGTTAACATTTTCTTCAATTGCTCAAAAGAATTGTTTTGTTCCTCTGTCCATTTCCAAACAGCATTCTTCTTCGTCAAATTGGATAGTGGTTTCGAAATATTTGCAAAATTTGGAATAAATCTGCGAAACCATGAACATGTTTGCAAGAAAGACATAAGCTGCTTAACATTTTTAGGAATAGGACGCTTTAAGATTGCTGAAGATTTTTCGGAATCGATTTTTATTCCTTCTCTTGTGAGAATATGGCCTAAATATTTCACTTCCGATTTGCAGAAGAAACACTTTTGACTATTTAAGTGGAAGCCAATATTCTTTAGTTTTTCAAAAACTGTATCCAAATCTTTTATGTGTGATTCAAAGTTTTCTGAACAAATAATTATATCGTCCAGATATGCCAGAATAACGATGTTTGGTAGACTGGAACGAAATTTATCGATAACTCTTTGAAATGTTGCAGGAGCATTTTTTAGACCGAATGGCATCCTGTTAAAAGCATAAATCCCGAATGGAGTTGTGAATGCTGTCTTTAATTTGTCTTCCTCTGACATCTTTATTTGCCAATAACCTGACTTTAGATCCAAAGTCGACATAAAAGGTGTTGTTTTTGCAGCGTGTAATAAATCTTCCATGCGTGGGAGTGGATATGTGTCTGTAGTGGTTATTGCATTAAGTTTTCTGTAGTCCACACAGAAGCGAATTGTATTATCCTTTTTAGGTATAAGTACGACTGGAAAAGCCCAGGGAGATTCTACTTCTTCTAT